TGACTAATGACTGGCCATGATTACAGTCGCGTTGACCTAACTCGTCATATTATGGGTGACCTCTTGTTTTTAGAGAAAATAATATGGATATATGAACCTACATTTCGAAAACAAGGACATTTCTAAGTGACCCCAAACTTTTGAACGGTAGTGTATATGAAACATACTGCCAACATTCAAGGCAAAATCTGCCGCAAACAATTAGGCTTCACTATGGAAATTGAGTTGCTATCTTTTAATTCCTTGTGAGGTGTGCCTCTACCATGAGAAAGCATTTTAATTCCTGGTGTGTGTACGTCTCAGTGACTGTTTTGAAGTCACACTTTTAATCTCTAATCCGTCGTCTTCTCTATCTGAAAGACTTGCTAAATTTAAGGTTTTAAACCTACCAAGGATTGGTATGTTTGGCATGTAGGCTAAAATCTTTGAGGTAGCATACATATCAGGTGTGATTTAATGATATAACCACTTAACCAACAGTCTCTCAAGATGTTAAGCTACAAGTCATCAAAGGTTAAGAGATGGGTTATAGCCTACATTTTGATATGTGGTTATGATGCTTGCTAGTTTACAAAAGCACTAGGGCTGACCCCATTTAGTCAACTGATCGATTGTTTGGTTGATAGGCTGTTGGTTGACCAAGATTTATTTTACTCGATCAGTGGCAAATATATTTAAAAAAATTATGGCACACGAGACACCTGTCTGATTCACGCCTGTCTGAGTGGACTAATCCATTGTGGAGGCCGCAGGGATGGCACCAGTAGTACTTTTACCATTAAAGGGGGGAGAAAATGTCATAAAATAGGCCTACCTGATTAATTATTATCCCTTGTGCAAATAGCCTACAGCTGTGTCTGTCTGTCCGGATCTCACTGGCACAGGAAATTGAGGGCCCAGAATATTTTATACAATGGCTGGACCAAGTTAATAGGTGATTAAATGTTTCAAGTTCCTCGCAGACCGGCCATGCGTAGCCAATGTGATTTATAGGATATTTTTTTATCAGGATATTTTCTACCTGCATGCTGCAATGTTTTTATTTGTTGGCTTTATGTAGGCTATTTTGTACATATTGGCAATGGTGAATGAAGTTACTTTTAGATTTGTATAATTTTCAATCAGATAGAATTTTGATTAACTGCATGACATTGATTTTGAGATATGAAGACTTTATTATAAATTAAATAAAACTGTTCCACACAAATTTGCATATGAAAATCATAACTTGGAAACGGCTGCCGACCGCTGGTGTAGCCTATTACCGGCAACTTCAGGAGCATAATGAAGGCCAGCAGCAGCGGGCAATGGGCAATGAGTGGAGGAGGCGCTGGAACAGGTTTTTTTCCTTCTGATTTGGATATATTGATCTCTGGATCCCTCTTTAGTAAAATGTGTCTTAATTTTTAATTGCAGTGCTTATAGCGTCAGACAAGCTCAGTAGCCTACATATAGTTGATTTATTATTCAAACTTAGGGTGTGTCTATATATGGAAAAATACACCTTTTAAAAATGTCAACCAATTGATTGGTCGAAAGAACAGATGACTCTCGGTCGACCAAGATTTTGTTTTGTCGGGGACAGCCCTAAAAATGACATTTTAAGAAGCTTGACCTTCCTCTTTTTCTATTACCTTTACTGTAATCTTGCTAAGTCAGCATATTTTTTACTGGCGCTAGTCAAGGCTAAGGAAGACACGGCTAGGCCATACCAGACCAAGTTAGAGGCTGACTTTAATCAGGCTATCTGCTTACCTAAAGTAGGGTTATATTTCTGATTTAGCTAGGATAGCAGGTTGCTAAGTAGGGCAGGCTTGTCTCCTGGTATTTGCCCACAGTTCCTCTCTCACGCCATGTCCTCTCTGCAATCTCACTCCATTGGGGCTGACCATATCGCTAGAGGTCATTCAGGACTCCAGTATCGTTGTAGTTATTGGGTGTATTTATCCATTGATCCAAAGTGTAATTAATAACTTCACCATGCTCAAAGTGAAATTCAATGTCTGCTTTTTATAAACATTTTACCCATCTACCACTAGGTGCTCTTCTTTGCGAGGCCTTGGAAAACCTCCCTGGTCTTTGCGGTTGAATCTGTGTTTGAAATTCACTGCTCGACTGAGGGACCTTACAGATAATTGTATGTGTGGGGTACAGAGATGAGGTAGTCGTTCAGTAATCATGTTAAACACTGTTATTGTACACAGAGAGTCCATGAACTGATTTAGGCTTGCCATAACAAAAGGGTGGAATACTTATTGACTCAAGAAATGTCAGCCTTTCATTTTTTTATTCAATTTCAACAACAACAAAAAACACATTGACATTGTGGGGTATTGTGTGTTGGCCAGTGACAGAAAAAATCAGGACCAACCGACCAGGACCAACCCTGCTTAGCTTCAGAGGCAAGCCAGCAGTGGCATACTTCCAGACTTTATTTAGATTTTATGCTACTCCTTTGGAAGGGACTAGATCCTAGAAGTGGGAATTGCCAGGGACCTCACGATACGATATTACAATACTTTGGTGCTGATACAAAGTGTATTGCGATTCCCACAATTCTATATGTATTGCGATTCGATACACATTTTATTGTGATTTGATGTTCCAAACATATTGCTCACCATATGTCTGCTGCAGGGGTACAACGCTTTTTGACCAATCATGGAAATAAGTGCTGAAACAAATTGGCTCCCTATTGAAAAAGATGGAGAACAAGTTATGAAGGAAAAATACTGGCGTTTTGGTGCAGGTACAGCCAACTAGTGCAAAAATAATATTGCACCAATTTGTGGATACGATACAGCTTCAAAAATAATATCCCAATATGTAACTATCTATTTTTTTTATTTTATTCATTTTTTCCTATCACTACTAGGTCCTCCCTTGTCAAGCCATGGACAGATACATCATTTTGACTGGTAAAGATATTTGTTGTGAATTACTGCATTACTTTCTTAGTAAAGGAGAAGTGCTACCAGTAACACTGTTTTTTGAGGAATTGCATTCATGACTGTGGTCACTGGTGAACCAACTGTTTTAGGAGGGTTCTCTAAACTTTGCTTCCTTATTGGTTATATTGGCAGGATCTTGCTATCAGTTTCCTAACTTGAGCACGAACTTATTTCGACTGCCCTATTGTCAAATCTAAATGAAGCGGTTTCCAACTAAATGAGTTGACAATCATGATGCATGATTTTTGACTGAACAATGAATGGCGTAGACCTATCTAGTGGTCTCATGTTGATCGTCTCTCATAAAGTCATATGTATTTCCAACAGGATGACAGTGTAGCCTACATGAAGATAATTTTTTTTAGCTCATTAGTACAGTGCACTATTTTTAGGTGCGGGAGCGCAATAAAAAATGTAAATGATGTCATAATTCCTCCAAGTTTGCACCAGCAGATGTAGCGTATTGAATATCATTGTGGAGTAGGCCTATGCATAAAATGCATCCTCCAATTGCCTATGCCCAACACATTGTCTAAAAATAAATATTTTGAGGACCCTCAAACACAGTTAGGCATACCTAATTTCAAAATAGGCCTTCACTGTCAATTGTGAATGATAATTCTTCACGTTTTACAGTGAAACGACTAAACTTCATTTGCAGCATGCCAGTCATTTGATCTCAATCAGTTTCATGGGAATATGCATTTAGAATTTCTTGAATTACTGTTTCGTGAGCAGAAGGTGTTAACAAACAATAGCCTTCCTGTATTTTGTTTCAATCAAAGCACATTCTGTCTAGTGGTGCGCGCTGTTGTGTTTTAGCTGCATGAGAGATTTTTAAACTATTTAAACATCATAAGAAATGAGATGGTGTTTTTGGTGCAATTGTAACGTTATTAGTGGTGGGGGGGGTTGATAGTTACACATCGGGGTATTGTTTTTGACTATGTATCATTTTGACAATCGCAATATTATTTTTGCGCTAGTTGGCTGTAACTGCACCAAAACTCCAGTATTTTTCCTTAACAGCTTGTTCTTTTTAAATAGGAAGTTGTCAAAAAATATAAATAGTAAAGTATAGATACCCCAAAAAACGACGTAAGTATTTTTACATAAGTACTTTACACCACTGAATTTCTGATTTGCTAACTGGTTGAACGTGGCATGTGTATAACTACAACCAGTTAGCAAATCGGACATTTCAGAGTTTCGTAGTTCCGACTAGAACATGAACGCAGCTTAGCCCGAAAGGATTTGAGAAATGTGATTTGTTGACGATAGGCATATGACATTGGCCTATGTCTCTTGCGCTGCGTAGAATATCAGATCTCAACAACGATTGGAGAAGTGTTTAACATCACCAGTACCACATCCTTATGATATACAGTGCCTACAGAAAGTATTCCTACCCCTTGTCTTATTTCACGGTATGTTACAGCCTTAATCCAAAATGGAATAAAGATTTTTTTTCTCTCCCATCCACTCACAATACCCCATAATGACAAAGTGAAAACATGTTTTTAGAAATGTTAGCAAATTTATTGAAAATAGATATCTAATTTACATAAGCATTCACACCCGTTTGCTATGGCACAATACCGCATGCCTGGAGTTTGCAAAAAGGCATGTGAAGGACATTCACACCGAGAGATTGCTTTCTTTGGCGCATCCATAAAATCAAACCATGTGGGACGTTTTCGTAATCATATTATTTCCCCCCTAGACTTCACGCGGCGGCAGGGCGATTATGTTCACTTCCTCGACAGTGCAATCTTTTAGGGCAACACCGTAGGAAACATGGTGGATGTTTAGAGAGCGGGTGGGACCGTTTTTCTTGTGGTTTCTCCACACTAGCCATAAAGAAACTGTATATGAATGTACACAAATAAGAGTTGAAAACCTGGGGCTTTGAAAGGGGCGTGTATAATTGTTTTGCCACAAAACTGTCAGCTTTTCTGTTCAAGCATGGATCCAGTTCCATACTTGAATCACTGCTTTTCTTGAATTGTTTATTGTTCCCTCTAGAGTCTAGACTTCTGAGAAGATACCATGGACCAGTCAAGGTCGACGATATCTAAAATTGTAAGTACTATGCCTACTTTTTAAAGAAATGACCCTAGCATTTATTAAACAATTATGTCTGAAAATTGCCACAAAGCAAAAGCATTCCTCATTGAATGTCTTTTAAATGGTTGTTTTTAGTTTTAGTATAGTATATTAGTATAATTTGACATACTGCAGGTATATTTGGTACTGTACTATACATGGGTGGAAATTGACTTTAAAAAAAAAACCTGGCTATTCTCTCTGTGTCCCCACACAGTTCAATGGGGAGCCACGGTCGTACACACGCTTCAACCTGACCCAGAACATGGAAGGCGAGAATAGCCAGGTGGAGATGACGCTGTCGTCCGACATGGACGAGGAGATGGGAGGTAACGGCGTGGGAGAGCACCTCAGCAATGCCCGGGACCCCTACGTGGTACGCAAGGCCGCCTGGCGCACGCCCAAGAACATCTGCTTCATGGTGGCCGTTACACTCCTCATCTTCATCATCGGTAAGAATAGACATTTAAAAGGACCATTGACTACACAGACTATTTACATTGACCCCCTTTTATTACTTGTTTCTTTATTTGAATTGTGTTGCGTGACTCCCTTGCACTGACTCTATGCACACTCACTGGACTCTTCCCACACACTCACACATACTACACTGACACTCCAACACATACACACTACGTACGCTCACACACATAGACACATTCTTCACAGCTGCTACTTTGTTTATTATATATCCTGATTGCCTAGTCACTTTCACCCCTACCCGCATGTACATACTGTATTACCTCAATTACCTCGTACCCCTGCACATTAATTCGGTACTGGTACTCCTTGTATATAGCCTCGTTAATGTTTTATTGCGTTACGATTTTCTTTTTTTATTTAGCATATATTTGTCTTACTTTTTAAACTCTGCATTGTTGGGAATGGGCTCGTCTACACCTGGTTGTATTTGGCGCATGTGACCAATAACATTTTATTTGAATTGCATTCTGGTGCCTCAGTCACTATTAGTCACGTACGGTTTGATTATTGGTCATATACTGTAAAAGTCACATGCTCAGCATTAAATTCGGATAAATTCATGGGCCAAGAGAAACTAATCCGTGTTTAGGTTGTCTTTTAAACAGCCGCAAAGAACTTCAGCTAACTTGAGCCACAGCTAGCTAATAATCAATGGAAGTGATAGGGGCAACCTGCACTGTCGTATGATTTATGGATTTTCCCAGACACCGATTTAAGTATAGTCATGGACTAAAAAACATTCTCTATTGAAAGCTGTTTTTGTCTGGGACTTAACTTAATCTGTGTCTGGGAATCCAGCCTGAAGAGTTTAGCCTTTGTTTAGTTTCTGGCAGGGATGGTGTTGTATAGCTGCTGCTGACTGTGGTTTTGGGAGTAATTGTGTCTTTAACTCATTCATTTGTCTCTCTTTCTGTTTCTCTCCCTCTCTTTTTCTCTTGGTTTCTGGCGCTCTCAGGCTATCTGATTGGCTACCTGGCCCACCGGAGGAAAGAGCTGGCTCCCAGCTGCTCTGTATCCACCCTCCCTTCCATTACCCAGGATTCGTTTGAGACTGAAGAGACCCCTCTCATGGATTGGAACGACGTAAAAGGTCTGCTGCGTCAGAAGCTGAGCACCTCCAGCTTCGAGATTGCGTTCAGGTGACTGCGCTAGCCTTGCCCAGTTGAGCTTGTCTGCTCTCATGTGTTTCAACTTTATATTGAAAATGAATGTAATACTACTAGCAATTTTACTATGTTGTGAAATAGTATGGCAGATGCGTATGAAACCTCACTAAATGTCTACATATAAACATGTTTGGTACATCAACGTTGGGATAAAGGTTTAAAAAGTATATTTAGCTTACCGACTGCTACTTTCTTCCTTCCACTATCCTTCTGTCTCTCTTCATAACCCTTTCTCTGTATTTCTCTCTCTCAGCGAGTTTGCTAGTGAAAGCCACCAGGCAGGCTCCTCTGGAGACGAGATGCTGGGCAACAAGGTGCTGCTGAGGTTCAAAGATTATGGCATGCACACGTGGCACGACGAGCACTACGTCAAGCTCACGGATCCCCCCGCCTCCGGCTCCAACAGGGTCACCTTCAACGGGTCCGACCTCGGAACACTGGGGGGCTATCTGGCCTACAGCAAAACTGGAATCGCACAGGTAATCATTAAATAATGTTTTCCCTTTTAGTTTTCTACATTGAAACAAACTAATTAGGAGCATTGCAGTTGATTACGAGTATGACAATAGCGCTGATACTCTAGCTGTAATAAAAGGCATTTACTGTAACCTTTATATACTGTAAAACACTACATAGCAGTTATGATGCATTAGTAGCGAATTAGTCATTGTTTATTTTCAAGCACTTGGCACAATTAAAATCCACTTTGCATACACATTTTTAATTCTTCCATAATAGTCCCTCCATAATTATGAATGAATTGTTGCTGAATATTTGAAGCTCAGGACAGGTTTCAACTTTATTTTGGTTTCAAAGGGCGCAGTCCTTCACGGCTACTACGGCCAAATGGACGACCTGAGGAAACTGCAGGATAAGAACATTACCTTGGATGGGAGGGTCCTTCTGGTCAGAACTGGCAAAATAAGTTTTGCTGAGAAGGTGAGGGAATTGAAAATGGCGTACTTCATAAAGATATTTCATAAGCTTTCAAAATCTTGTTTCATAAGCATATATTTTAATCATTTCCAGGTCATTGATCTCACTTTATTTGGAGGTTTTAGGATAAGTATGATTAGTTTGGATTGGCAAATCTAGTCAAGCCTATATTGATTTGATGTAATAACACAAGGTCATCACTATGTGTAAAAGTGTCCTGTTCCCATGCTTTTCTTCCCATTTTAATATCTCCTTCTTTTCTTGATTTCATAGGTGGCTAACGCAGCCAAGCTGAATGCCTCTGCGGTTCTCATCTACCCAGACCCTGATGTCTACAGAGGGATCGGGGGGTCCACTCAGCTCTTTGGCCATGTGAGTGTGGTGGCCATTTTCTTTATGAATTTGCATGTAGGCAGACTTATTTGCATATGGTTTGCATTCCCAGCCATAACTGAAGTCGAGAGCACGCACAAAGTTACTGTTGGGTATAACAGCAATAGCTATTCTTTGAGACAGTTATTGAACAGTAGTGTATTGTGTACAATTATCTTTCTCTAGTGTTGCTTCATCTATTTGTTAATCTTATTCAGCTCCACTTTACACTCTGAAACCCTCACTATATTCTAGCCCAAGGGGGTGCACATTCTTGTTCTAGCCCTGCATCAACACACCTGATTTAACTAATCACGGGCTTGGCAATTAGTTGAATTGTCTGTTAGTTCAGGGCTAGAACAAACACAAAAGGTCAGGGTTCACCCTGTCGTTTGTCTCCGTCTCTCCGTATCCAGGTCCATCTTGGCTCAGGCGACCCTTACACCCCCGGGTTCCCCTCCTTCAACCACACCCAGTTTCCCCCCGTCCAGTCCTCAGGCCTCCCCAACATTCAGGCCCAGACCATCACCGCCGACATGGCCGCCACTATCATGAGGTAGGTTTCCATCAACTGAACCAAGCTCTGCGTGTAGTAGAAGTTGGGCCTTAGACACAGATCTAGGATCTGCATACCATTCCTAACCATTTAAGGGTTAAAATGTGAAAACTGACCTTAGATCAGTGCCTAACATTTTTCCACAAAATCTTTGTCTCAACTTTGTCTCGAAACTCAGCGGGATGGGAGGGAAAAGCGCCCCTTGGGCAGGTGTAGGCAAACTGGGAGACTATGACGATATGGCCACGGTGGAGGTCAACAACGTCCTGGCTGAGAAGAAAATCCACAATGTGTTTGGCGTCATTAAAGGCTTTGTGGACCCAGGTATGGTTGACCTATGACCCTGTGGGGGAAAACAAGTCCCCAGTATTTTATAGTATAGTTCTTTAGTAATTGGTGGCATGGTTGGGGTCAGTTCCATTTCAAATGCGGTCAAGTCGGTAGATAGTATTGGAATTCAGTGTGTGAATTGAAATAGTCCTAATCAGAAACAGTGGACTATATTTCATGAATGGAATTTCTATTCATTTCCCCCACATTAAGGTAAATAAAATGGGATTGACCCTAACTTTAGAGGCTAACTGCTATTGTTTAGCGTCACAAAGCCCATTGGCAAATACTATAATAATATCAAATGTCCTAATCATTTACACCCTTTACATGTGCTGTGTCTCTGCCTTCTTTGCTGTAGATCGTTATGTGGTTATCGGCGCCCAGAGGGATGCATGGGGCCCAGGCTTCGCCAGCTCCACTGTGGGCACCAGTGTGTTGGTGGAGGTGGCCCGCGCAATCTCAGACATGGTGAAAAATGGTGGGTGATGATGCCAGGCCGAACCATAGAAACCCCATAGAATAGACATAATGGATACGGGTCCCTCATGGCTCTAGTCGGCAGCCATTTAGTAGCATTTTGCGACCCTTTGACTTTGCTGTGCTAGTAAAAAATGTAATTGGTTGCACCGGTGCGAGCTGCAGATTCTACCTGGTCACCTCAATCAAAACGTCATATTTTTTGGGTGGATAAAACCATGATTTGGTCAAACAGTAAAGTGCATTAAAGCCACTCACTCAATACTTATTATTGAGCTCAAATCACACTGTTTTACAATCAAAATATCTGATATGGCTTTGAAATATGGAGCGCGTGAAATACACATCAGTGTATAAGGCCATCAGTGTACTTCTTCTCATTGGGTAGTATTGAACATGGTAGGAAATCAACTAAATCTATTGAGCTCATTAGACAATTAATTTGCCCAACTTTATAAAAAGATATGATTTGTATTTCCTGCAACCTTTTGAAGAGGCATCAACATGGAATGCCCCTGTCTCTGTGTGTGTACGGTACACGTGTTTGTCTACCGCTGTAGCTGTTAGCGCTGCTATCAGTCTTCTGGAATTTGGGGGAAAAACTAAATGGAATTTGGCAACAAAAAAATTGATTTTGTGGAGCCCTAGAATTTCCACTTCCTCAGGTGGGGAATTAGCACCAATTTTGAATTAGGCCTGTGTAAGATTAGTGGACCTAAAGGTGAAGGCTAATTCATCTCTATTGAATAAAAAAAAGTCTGGAGCCCTATTTTGACAGTGAAATATAACAATGGCCTAATTGTCATGAATTTTGGGTGGACAATCACTGGATTAGGTTGCATATCAAAATATCTTGAATTATGCGTTCCTGCTTGGACATGTTAGATGAAACAACTTATTTATTGAATACCATCTCAGTAGTCTATTACACTTCTTAATGAGTTAGGTCTTTATAATTACTTTATAAGATTATTAAAACGTATATTGTGTGATGTTGCGATTTTATTAGTTAGTCTGGATCCCCGGTCTCTAATCTACTGGTACTACCTTGGGCTTTCATTCAATTATCTGAAATGTGTTTATGTAGTGTCTGGGGTTAATTCTAATGTATTCCATAAATCTCAAGGAGCGTGTTTGTCATTTGCAGTCAATAAAGACTCATTTTAGGTGACCGTGGGATTTTGTTCACATTAACTGAGCACATTACAGGAGAAGTCTAAAGATTTAAAAAATGGCCTATAGATCACTTTTATCTGCCAAGTACATTTACATGTACCAGGAATTTGACCTGGTGTAGTGGTGCTGACATTGTCTTACAATTAACAATACACAGATAGAATATAGACAGAAGATTGTCCACATACTCTGCATACGGTATATACAGTACAGATATAGTAATACAAAAAAGGAACGGTTACACATTATAAATAACATATCCCCATAGCCTGTAAGGAGGCAACCAACTGTGAATGATGATAAAATGATGTTTGTCCTATGATTGCTGTCTGTTTTCTTCTGACAGATGGCTTCAAGCCCAGGAGGAGTATCGTGTTTGCCAGCTGGAGTGCTGGAGAGTATGGGAGTGTTGGCGCCACCGAGTGGTTGGAAGTAAGAACAGCACACTTGATATCAATGCAAACCTTTTGTACTTGGATATGCTGATATGTCTCAACTCGTTTCTGTTTTCAGGGTTATTTGTCTTCTCTGAACATGAAAGCCTTCTCTTACATCAACCTGGATGGAGTTGTAAAGGGTGAGTACGGTGTATTATCTTTCTATATACAGAATGCATTGTTTGGTTTGTGGTAATGACATTTTACAGTTGCAAAGAAATTAAGCAGACGCTCTTATCCAGAGCGACTTACAAATTGGTGCATTCACCTTATAGCCAGTGGGATAACCACTTTACAAAATGTTTATTTAATTTTTTTACATGAGAACTATAAGGTGAAATTGTAACATTTTCCTCTCCCAGGTTTCCAAACATTCAATGCCTCGGCCAGCCCTGTGATGTACACCCTCATCCAGAGCACGCTAAAGGAGGTGTGGCAGCGGATCATCTCGTTTGACTTGACAGAATTTCCCTTATTTTTCATTATGAAGGTGTGTAATTGAGATGTGTTGAAACTGGGTTGTTCTTCTCCTCAGGTCAACACTGATTCCAAAATGGAACTCTGCGATTCAATCACCGGTGCCAATTGGACGGAAGCACTGTAAGTGAGACAGGACTTAGTGGTATTTTAGAAGATTGCAACAGTGTGGCTTGATGGGCCAAGTACATTTATTTATTTGAGTGCAGCTCCCAAATAAAGTTAATTGAATTGCTTGTAGAATTAATGGACATTTCACCATCTTTTCTTGTGTAGTCATGTTTTATTTTGTTGTATTTTGCAGCCTGGAGCCTCTGAGGCTAAACGATCCCGCCTACCCCTTCGTCACCTTCTCCGGCATCCCAGCTGTATCATTCAGCTTCACCACAGCGGTCAGTTTGTGAAAAGCGCCTTACAATGCCTAATGGTGTCAGCAGTACAACACCATACGCATATAAATAGACTCAAATAACTGTTATCGCTAAGACGATACCAACACACTATATCCCAACATGTTATTGCTACCTAATTGTTATTTTATGAACCCAGTTTTCCCCATATTTTGAAAGTATGGCCAGTTACAAATAGTTTAGCCTTCTTTGTGTGTGTGCACTGAGTGTACAAAACATTAAGAACACCTGCTCTTTCCATGACGTAGCTTTCACCTAGTTAGTCTATGATATTTTATTGGTCACTTGTTAAATCCACTTCAATCAGTGTAGATTAAGGGAAGGAGACAGGTTAAATACGTTTTTAAGACTTGCGATATGGATTGTGTATGTGTGCAATTCAGAGGGTGAATGGGCAAGACAAAATATTTTGGTGCCTTTGAACGGGTTATGGTAGTAGGTGCCAGGCGCACCAGTTTGTGTCATGCTGGGGTTTTTCAAGCGCAACAGTTTACCATGTGTATCAAGAATTGTGCATTATGCTGAAACATGAGATGATGGCGGCAGATGAATGGCACTACAATGGGCTTTCGTATCTCGTCACGGTATCTCTGTACATTAAAATTGTCATCGATAAGATGCAATTGTGTTCGTTGTTCATAGCCACCATGGAGCACTCTGTTCACAGCGTTTACATCCGCAAACCGCTTGCCCACACGACCCCATCTGCCATCTTCCCGGTACAGTTGAAACTGGGATTCATCTTTGAAGCGCACACTTCTAGTGGCCATCGAAGGTGAGCATTTGTCCACTGAAGTCGGTTACGACGCTGAACTGCAGTCAGGTCAACATCCTGGTGAGGACGATGAGCACGCAGATGAGCTTCCCTGAGACTGTTTCTGACGACATTTTGTGAAGAAATCCTTCGGTTGTGCAAACCCACAGTTTCATCAGCTGTCCGGGTGGCTGGTCTCAGACAATCCCACAGGTGAAGAAGCCGGATGTGGAGGTCCTGGAGTAGCGTGATTACACGTGGTCTGCAGCTGTGAGGCCTGTTGGATGTATTGGCAAATTCTCTAAAACAATGTTGGAGGTGGCTTATGGTAGAGAAATTAACATTCAATTCTCTGGCAACAGCTCTGGTGGACATTCCTGCAGTCAGTATGCCAATTGCAAGCTTCTTCAAAACTTGAGACATCTGTGGCATTGTGTTGTGACAAAACTGAACATTTTAGAGCTGCCTTTTATTGTCCCCAGCACAAGGTGCACCTGTGTAATGATCATGCTGTTTAGTCAGCGTCTTGATATGCCACACTTTTTGTGTTTGTGACATTTAGCAGACGCTTTTATCCAAAGCCACTTAGAGTCATGTATGCATACATTATTAAGTATGGCATTCTTTACCATAACCCTTAATCTTATCCACTGTGTGTCTCAGGGCAAGGAATACCCATACATCGGGACACTGCAGGATACACGCGAAAATCTGTACAATGCCACGTGCAACCAGCTGGCCAAGCTGGCGGTGTCTGCAGGGCAGATCGCTGGGCAAATGGCCCTGCGGCTGGTCCACGACCACCTGCTGCGCCTGGACGTGACGATGTACCACCGTCAGCTCCAAAACCACGTGGTCAACATTAACCGCAAGGTCAAAACCGTGATGAGTGTAAGTCGAGGCCTAAACACTTAATTTCAGCACAGAACACAGTCCAGGGTGGCATGGATGGTGGGAAAGGACATGTTCACTGTCTGGTAGCTAGATGTTAGGAAACTGTCCAGGTATAGAAATGTGAACTTGGTATGGGATAAAGTTTTGGTGAAGCCATTGGAGAATTAAAAATAAAATAATGTTTAGTCTGCCTGCCTGTGATTTTGTTTTATTCTGTATTGTTTATTTTCTTTACCTTTTTTTGTTTTGTCAGCATTTCTGTTGACGCCTCGGCTCAATTATTTTGATCTTGATTGTTGTTGACCCCAGTTGAGGCCCGAGTTGTTGCCCAAGGCCCTGACTGTCCAGTGGCTGATGTCCGCGTCTGGCTCCTACGGCCGAGCCTCCAACAGTCTGACCTCTGACATCCAGAACAGCGACCTGAAGGACGAGGCGATGTGCCGCAGCATCAACGACCGCATCATGAGGGTGAATGCCTGTCCTCTCATTCCTCTAAAACCTCAAGCGTTGTCTGGTCCTTTTGAGGATCGCTTTTGTTGGAATTCGACCATGTAAAGTCACATGATTTTGTGGAAGGCAAACTTTGCTGGGCTGCAGTGGCTGCAGGCCAAATGTATGAATTTCAAGTAATTATGAAACCAATAGGGAGATAGGCCACTTAATTTGAGAATTACCAAAATCCTACATTGCAGCCCGACAGTGCCTGTGCACATGGTTCATCGTGTAACCTTGGGTGGAGGACGATACTGAAACATTTACTTACTTGTTTTCTCTACCTCACTTCCTCCTTTAGGTGGAGAGGGACTTCCTGTCCCCATACGTGTCTCCCAGGGAGACCCCGTTCCGCCACATCCTGGTGGGCTCGGGCTCCCACACCCTGAAGGCTCTGGCGGACCACCTGGACGCCCTGCTGAGCAACCACTCAGAAGCCGACGCGGATCTGTTCCGGAATCAGTTTGCCTTGGCAACCTGGACCATCCAGGGCTGTGCCAACTCACTGGCGGGGAACATCTGGGCAATTGATAACGAGATCTAAGCCTGTCTTGACATTTAATGTCCCATTAAACTAAACACCCAAGTTAGTAATATAGCCATAGGTCAAGGCACCATCAGAAAGGTTCACCCATTCAGGAAAATTAAATAGAGGTGTTCCGTATTGAAATCAATAACACAAAACCTCCCCTTTTTTCATACGCGTTGCAACACTCATCAAGCACAATATGCTGTATTTTACCTCCCGCACAAGGCCTAAAAAGTAACACTGAAATTCAACTGCCTAAATTTCATTTGTGTTTGAGAAATATAAGTGAAAGGCCATTATTACTCTTGCGAAAACAAAAATGCATTTCCTGAAATGCATTCACAATGACGTGGGATTAATGCCACATTTGAAGTACATTGGTGCTTAATACAATTGACAAATGACCTACTTATGTTTAAATTACTTACTTAGCATGGTAATATAGAACATCTTGAATGTAGTCAAATTGATGATGCAGTTTTACCCCAATATATCTAAGATCACAAACAAGTTGTGTGTGTAAGCTCAGAGGCACTTAGTGATTACAACAAAAAGATCATTATTGTATTACTTACCATGAACTAAATTAGTCAGAGACTGCTGTTATTTCTACACTGTTGTTACTTTACATTTGATTCAAACCTGGGCTGTTGTAGAGAGATCTCATATTGGCTGAAAACTGTGTAGAACAAGACCAAGGCTGAGAGATGTTGCCAAAGGGGCTAAAACTTACATTCAGTTCAGAAGGTAAGACAGAATTGAACCACATACAGTGCGACAATCTAACCTAGTCACTGATGTTCAGTTGTCCTTAGACCAAGGGCTATAGCCCTTGTTTTATAATCTTCAAGCAACATCCTCACACCACGTTTGTGAGTGCTCAAAATGGCCTCCTGCTGACATAGATACAATAGTTTAAACCTGGGGGAGAGAAATGGTCTTCACCACATGGCACTGAAAATGTATATTTCCTTTTCTTTATCAGTGACAGGGTTCACTATAAATAGTTTTTAATGCCTTTTTTTAGTTTTATTATCGGGAGCAGTGCCTTCCATAATTATGACAGTTATACTGTCGAAATGACAAAGCAGCATCTGCTATGGCAGTGTACATGTCAGACCGACCAATCCATACTAGAGACCAGCCCATACCTCAATCCATTCACCCAATTATCACAACCGACTGCAGGTCCTGCGAAGTAGCCGTTATTCTTTTACCAATTTTTCTTCCCAATTTCGTTATATCCAATTGGTAGTTACGACCTTGTCTCATCGCTGCGGTCTCGGGAGAGGCGGAGTTCGAGACATGACCCGTCAAGATGCGCTGCTTCTTAACACACTTCTCACTTAACCCGGAAGTCAGCTGTACCAATGTGTCGGAGGGAACACTGTTTGACTGACGACCAAAGTCAGCTTGCAGGCTCCCGGCCCGCCACAAGGAGCACTGTGATGCAGAGCCTTACACCGCTGCGCCACTCAGGAGGCCGCCAGCCATTAATTTATTCTGATCGACACCTCAAACTGATGTTCAAAAAAGACGTTTGTTGTGTAATTGCCTTTAGGTGAACACTCAAGGCGGTCTCTAGTACGGGTCTCTGGGTGCATGTACACTTACTAATCCTGAAACATTATCTGGAGCAGTGTCTTCCATAATGTGAAGAAGAAGGTAGTTTTTGTCTACCAGCGTGTCCATATCGGAGGCAGTGACCTCCATATTTCACTGTAGAGTGGATGTGATTTTTATCGGGAACAGTGTTTCCCATAATGTTGTATATAATGTTGTCTGCATCTACAAACCGCTTGCGGCGCTTGACGTTCCCTATCATGTCATCGCAACCCTATAACCGTGACACTGTAGTGAGCTAGCATCTGATTTCTACCAAGTGCTGTTGTTCTCTTGTCGATTTAGCTTCATAAGGAACTGGATTTTAGTAGTGCAAATGTTACAAAGCCGAGACTGTTTGTAATCGATGTGGTCAAAGCAGTTTGTTTCCACAAAAGATTTAAGACCTGAATGTGGGTCTTATTTCCTGTATGATTCCGTTCGTATGAAATGATCAGTTACACTTTAAAGTAAAGCCTGCAGGTATAATGCTTTATTAGTTGTTTAAAAGCATGTATGAGCCATTGTCTTAAGGCTAATAATGTTACATTTCTATGTAAGTAATGTTTAACTGACAAAGTGACTGTTTATTTAGTCCAGATCATTGAGATAAGACATATTAAATGCTTATGACAGGTCTTACAATGCATTATAACTGCATAATAATGCATTATACCTGCAGGATTTGGGTAAAGTGTAAGCAAGTTACCCTTTTTTCTTCTCTCTTTTTCGGTTGCGGTACATTCTGTTTTCTGGGGCTTAGGCAATCTGTGCCTTGTTATTTTGTGAATGGTAATGTAGAGAAATCCAGTTTTCTGTGGCGTATTTAGTTTTTGCTTTATCGACACTTCTTTGCAGTCATTGTAGTTCTTGATTTTTAAGACGTTTTGAGTATAATTTGGATGTGTTTGAGAGCCTGTCATTTGTTAGCGTAAGCCCAAAGACATTGTTTTTGAGAAGTGTACCCTATACAATTATGCTCAAAGAAAAAGCACGAGGTTATGAATTTAGAGCATAGTATTATTGATGGAAAATAACATGAAGGATCTATAGAGCAACTTCCTAACTTGCACAGTCACTAAAATTATTTTTCTTAAAACGTTTTGTTTATGGGATGTCAGTCAAAATTTCAACCAAATTGTCAGGGATTACTACTCTGTGAAATTTCCATTTTCCTGCATTAGTTAGACTTGGCATTTTACATCAAGCTATTTAACCACTCTACACTGAAAATGTAACTCTGATTATTCAGTATGTTAATGAAATCTGAAGTATTGGAAAAACAGTGACCCACAAGGGTATAAATGGTGTATTGATTGATTGTTACAATGGAGTTGTGGTACAAATGGGCTCTCACAAAATGTTATGTTTTTTTAGAGCTGGATAACATGGCTTTCAAATGCCTTGGTATATTCCATTTTGGGGAACTTAAATTCTATTTTTTTGACAGACTGAATAACTATGGGTAGCATATTTTGAAAAGACCACTTATCGGATGTTAAAATGTTTTTGTTTAGGACTGCATGCAAAATTGTTTGTCTTCTGTGTTTGCTGCAATAAATCATTACACAGCTGTTAATAATGGTGTTTCTTTTGTCAAATGTCAAGAATGTACCGGTAATATGTCTGAAAGGGAATATGTGTAGACTATTGCTGGAGTAGTAAAATACATTTTAGGGTGGGGTAGACATTTTCAGTTCAATGTTCCTTTTCACCTTGGTGTGTAATGGAAGATTTTTGCCCATATACACTGAACAAAAATATAAATGCAGATTTTACGGAGTTACAGTTCAACTGATATTCACGTCAATGCTATGTATGGAGAAAACAGGTACACTGGGTGCTCTACAGGTAGACCTAAAGATGATCACTAATCCAGTCCATGTGGGACAGAACCTGGACCGCCCTATAACAAAGGTTATCGTAAATCTACACACAACCCCTGTCTCCACCAAAATCCACAGGTTTTAGAACCCATTCTATTCCATTGCCTGATGAGATGGAGCAACTGGAGGCCATTCCGGGGTTGTTGGAGTTGGTTGTAGAGATGCGCTTCCTCTATGCCTATGAGTCGTAGTGCTCACACTACACAGTTGTTAGGTATACGTTTGATAATACGTTTCTTATTATATGAATATATAAATCAAATTAAATAAATGTGTGATTGAGTGATGAACGCATTCAGCGATTGACGCATGAACGCACACACAGGTGTTAGCTGGGCAGGAGCAAAAGCCTGTGCACACTGCGACCCTCGAAGACATGAGATGCCCATCCCTGTAGTTTGAAGTTTTATATTCAGATAGCCTGGCCCTGTAGTTTCATCATATCAACACTTGATGGCGACAGAGGACAATGATTACAACCTATCAGGGAAATTTTCTACATGCAGAAATTCATGTATATACACAAGATGACTCAGAGGGTGCTGTTTTCAAGAACCGTGCCTCCATCTTGGCATTCCCCTCCATGGTAAAACATATTTTGGAAGCGATAGAAATGCATTTACTAATGTGTACATACCTCATGAAGCTGGTTGAGAGAATGCCAAGAGTGTGCAAAGCTGTCAAGGCAAAGGGTGGCTATTTGAAGAATCTCAAATATAAAGTATATTTTGATTTAACACTTTTTTGGTTACTACATGATTCCATTTGTGTTATTTCATATTGTTGATGTCTTCACTATTATTCTACAATGTAGAACATAGTAAAAATAAAGAAAAACCCTTGAATGAGTAGGTGTTTTAAAACTTTTGACCGGTAGTGTACATCATTGCATACACTACAGTCAATGGAGATACAGTATATCTTCAAAATATGAGTGCCATATGAAATGAATGGGGCAGTACAACCAACACATGCTCTTCCTACACGTTTTATTTACAGTATTACAATTGTGTGAAACCACTTACAGCTTGAGATTAAGTCTATATGAATATAAACAAACACTGGCTGTGCATGACAGCAAAGTCAGTCAGCAAAGAAACATTGAATTATTGCATTCACCATTAATCGCAGTCAAGTGTATTTTAAATAGTGTAAGTGTACGCATAGGCACTACTACTAAAGTTCAGAAAATACTGTATTTTATGAGTAGTCAAAAATTTTGTAAAAATAGGGACAAGTGCCTTTAAGGGTGGGCTGACAGCGTCGAGCGTGTACAAAGAAAGCAAAGAATTGGGCGAGTTCTTTTTGCATTTCCCGGTGCCCTGGGTTGCGGAGTTGGAACATTTTACAACATTCCATTGGTCCTTAAGAGAAATCTCCACTGAATCGGGGCACTAGGCCGTGCAAAACGAACTGGCCCATTGAGTAATGACGCCAGCAACGCAATACCCAATTTGTCTCGAGCCGATGCAAGCAAGAATAAAATACGGCCAATTAAGAATAGAAGAGTTGAAGTAAGTTATGCAT